GACCTAGAGAGGATGTTTAAATGGATGTAGTTAAGGACAAGTAAACTGTATGTTCTTGTGGTTAAATATTGAATAAGGTGAGAGAATGGGGTTTTATGTGAAAGGGAGAGTCAGTCATGCTGGCTATGTGCCATGAGCTATGTGGCTTTATGGCTACAGTGCTATTAGGTTGCTGAAGAGGGACAATAGCAAGTTGCCAATGTTTGCCCAAGTACACAATAGCTTTTTGAATGTGGCCTGGGTGCCAGGAATGCCAGTCTTTTGGTGGCTGTCCATTGAGTGGAGAGTTGTTTCAAGAACGATGTATGGTGATAATAGTGCTAGAATCAGGCACAAGGGATGTCATAAGGATGGAGTAGATAGTTCATAAGATGAGTTTGTTAAGATGTAGCAAGACATTTCATTGGCCCCTACGTCGAGAATCCCTCCAATCTTGACAAAGCTGAAACTTAGCCAACAAAACATAAGGTTCAGCCCCGCATCTTTTTGGCCTATGAACTGAAAATGAACAAAATGGACACTGTTTTTCAAAGGGGATTATTTGTGCACGCAGTTTGTTTCCAGCTAGGACAAACAAGTGAAACCAACTGATGAATATGAGACAATGTAAATTTTTGGGTTCATAGAGTCCAGACAATCTGGCACCATTTATTGCAGGTCCAGAAGAGCTTGGCTTAGTAACATCTCATTGACTGTTCTGGCTGCAGCCTAACATAGGCCTTGTGAAGGAAATGCAAAGATAAGCAAGGAGTAATCTCCAGAAGCAGGTCGCATCAATCTTCTTTTTGTTTGTTCATAGAATGTGGACATTGCTGACTAGGCCAGCATCTATTGTCTATCCTTAACTGGATCCCCATTGCCCATCCCTTTGCTGTGGTTCTAGATCATATGTAGGCTAAACTAAGTAAGGACAACAGATATCATTCCTCCAAGTTCATTAGTGAACCAAATGAGTTTTTACAATTGGCAATGCTTACGTGGTTCTTGCGAAGATTTGCAGCTCGGATTGTGAATGAAGTTGTTGACTTGCTCTCCGAGCTGGCTGGTTAGCGTACAGACGTTTCATCACCAGTGCGGATTCTGATGAAGCGATGTTGTTCTACTCCATTTGGTATCTATATGATCCGGTCTGTTAAGTTGTGTTGTGTCATTTTCGGTTCTGTTCTGCATGGGTTTGTATATGGGGTCTAATTCCACATGTTTGCTGGTTGCATTATGGGTTGAAAACCAGGCCTCTAGGAATTCCCGTGTGTATCTGTGGTTGGCTTGAGCTAGGATGGTCAAGTTGTCCCACTTAAAATGATGGTCTTCATTGTCCGAGTGCACTGAGATGGGGGAAAGTTCATTGTGTTGTTTTGCTGCGAGCTGGTGTTCGTGTATCCTGATGGCTCGTTTCCTTCCAGTCTGGCCGATGTATTGTTTACTTGCAGTCATTGCAAGGTATTTTGTAAACTACATTGGTCCTGCATATCATGGGTATGGGGTCTTTGGTCCTTGTGAGTGTTTGTCACAGTGTGGCTGTGGGTTTGTGTGCTATCATGATTCCTGATGGTCGTGGAGGTCTCGTTTTCAGTTCTGCCAGTTACAAAGTACCATGCAATGACTGCAACAAACATTACATTGGACAGACAGGAAGGAAACTAGCCATCAGGATACACAAACACCAGCTAGCAGCAAAATGACACGATGAACTTTCCTTCATCTCAGTGCACTTGGCCAATGAAGGCCATCAATTTAACTGGGATAATGTGACCATCCTGGCTCAAGTCAATCACAGACATGCATGG